GGAGTTGAAGTCCACTCATCTTAAAGTGGCCAAGTTTGAACAACACGGGCCTAGAGCAAGAGTACACAAACTGAAGCACCACAGCCACATGCAACCTCTGGGTTGGGTACTCAGAGACCTAAAAACATTATTTCCAAGTTGTAGTTTTCAGCATGATACAAGGGGAAAATTATTAACGACATGGAAGAAGAGAAACCAAATTCAACATATTTAATTAGAAAAGGATACTTTGGCCATTGAATCCAACCCCTTGCTTAGAGCAGAAACCCAGTTTAAAGCGTGCCTGACAGATAGCTATAAAGTCTCTGACTGAACACACCCAGTGAAGAGAGCCCACCAGTTCTCGAGTCCACTGTCCTGTTGCTCTTACTGTTAAGTAGGTTTTTTTTAACATTCAACTGGAATCTACCTTCTTATAACTCATATCCATTATGCCACATCCTGTACTTTAGAATGAGACATTAAACTGGCATTAACCTTCCATGTGACAATCTCTTAAGTACTTGAAGAATGCTATCATACTCAATCCCACCCCATTTTTTTTTAAAGGCTCAACACGCCCATCACTTAATTTCTGATCATCCTTGTTCTTTTCTGAACCTCTTCCAATTTCTCTGACTCCTTCAAGAGTGGTGCCCAGAACTGGTCATAAGATCTCCCTAAATATAATAAAGTACAGACAGTCCCCTACTTGCAAACTCTCATGTTGCGCTTTTACTGATACGAACAGGATGGACCCGAAAGTCAGAACCAGAAGCCGGGCCGGAAGTTGGAACCGGAAGTCAGGAGAAGGCAGGAAGGCACACCACAAACTAACCCTTTCCCACCTTCTCTAGCATTCTGTTTGCATTTGAGGTTTGCACTGAAGTTGGAGTTCCCAGAAAGGGTTAGTTTACGCAACACACTCCGTTGCCAGGTGAGGGAGGAGAGGGGGCGGAGGTCTCCTGCCTTGCCCGGCAATGGAGCGTGCTGCGCCCTGCTGGCCCTGCCCCCACCTCTATTTTTTTTTTTTTGCTTGTTGGACTTACAAACAAAACGGACTTACAAACAGCCTCTTGGGACGTAACCTGTTCGTAAGTAGGGGACTATCTGCAGAATGATTGCTTCTGATGATTTGAAAAGTTTGACAAGACTTAAAAAAACAATAAATCCATGCTGGTTTTTTTTTAATAATTAACAAACTGTTTTTCAGGTTCTTATACATCAATACAATCTCATTAAAATTTGCTTCGGAAACTTCCAAGGTACTGAACTCATACAGACTGGTCAACAGATCCCTGAATCCTCCCCTTCCTTTTTTTTTTAAAGATAAATGCAATAAGTTCTTCTCTAGGCCTCTCGCACATCTTCAGTTTTCCATAATTTCTCAAAGATGATGATGATATATAAACATTGACAGAAGTATCAGGCAGTTGTCTGAGTACCCTAGGATGTACTTCATTTGGCCTTGGAGACTGAAATTTATTCAGAAGAAGGAGATATTCCCTGACCATGTTTCTATCACTCTCAAGCTTTGAGTCTGCCCCCTTAAAATAGATTAAATTTAAATGTTAATCAAGTGTGATCAAAACTGAATTTTAATCATGGGCTCACCCAAAACCCCACCATTCCACTAAAAGTCTAGCTGAAGCCCTTACATAAATGTTCTTACTCTTGGGCCAGCAGGATGGATCATGACAATAAGGTGAAAGATTATTTATTCCAACAGTCTGCCCCTGATTGATTCTAATCCAGAACTGGGTCACAATTAAGTTCAAATGGGAACTTGCCTTGGAAGCTTGGCAGATCCTGCAACTACTCTTGGCCCCATATCAATAAATACAAATATCTCTTAACAGCTGAAAAAGAACACATAGACTAAGAAAAGTGCCCAAGTTAGAGTAACTCCAAAGTCAGGGTGTTTGCAATCATAGCATGAATATTAGACTTTAGCTATATGAGATTTTTTTAAGCATTTTTTCCATTTAGAGACAAGCAATGTGTATGGAGTAAAGAAGATGAACTTGATGGAAATAGTGGCTCAGGCAGAAGCCTTCCTAATTCACAGAAGTATAAGGAGGAGGAGGAGGTCCAGGACAATCAGACATGTAAGATTCTGTTATTACAGCCATTCTCAATAAAAGCAGTTTTACCCTTCCTGTGGAGTTGATTTCCTGGTCTGGTCTACCTGGTGGGGCTGACAGTATGTGTAAGACATGCAGATACACACATACACATACAATGGCATTGTATTGTTCTTTGAAGTACATATATAACTTTGAAGTATACATGCAAAACAGACTGTATCATCTTGGGAAAAAAGGTACAGATTCAAACTTTAGCCATCGTAACCCCTTAACCCACTCTCTGATCTCACCTGAGTTTGAGAGAGCTAATTCAAGAAGTGAAGCCAGGTATCCTTGAATCTTATTTCCAGAAACAGCAGAATACAATTCCTTACCATCATGCTGGTGGCTTGTTCAGAAGACCTTTCACCCTAGCCAAGTATGTCATCAGATCTTCTGTGTCCCTCACAAAACATCTTTCTCCCTGGCCGGAATCAATGCCCTGCCATCTTTGGCATGAGAAGGGAGATATAATGCCTTCACAAAATCGTTTATGGGCAACTGAGTCAGTCTCACGTGTCCTACTGAGATGTTCGTTTTATCAAGCTTCGCAGACTAATCTAATAATGCCTTTGCTATTCAACAGTCCTGGAAGGTCAAATAAGAAGAACAAACTCTTCCTAGTAGACAGCTTGTTTCTGGCAATTCACAAAATATTGCTGAGTTCTTCTCTACTGCTATTGTTGTAAGGGGCTAATTAGTTTAAATTTGGTACTGCTAGCTTTAAATATACATTTTCTGTCAGGGATATAGAATAATCTAGCTAGTTTACTATCCTGTTGAAATAATTTTATATTTTTGCTCTTTCCCCAGGAATCCTTTTCTTAAATTGTTTGCAATGTGAAACAGATAACTGATCTCTGATCATAGGTACGTGCAACCATAAGACATGAACACTTGAAGACAATGAGGTATTACAAAAGATCTTTTTTAAAAAAAAGGGAGCTATAGATTAGATGTGGCCTGCACACTCCATCCCAATGTTATAGGCCTCTAACAAATTTCTCTCTGGGGCCCAAAAGTATAAATAGTTTAAAAAGGCCCTTAAAATACTTCTTTTCATCAGCCTTTATGAATCCAGAAGAACTTTCTTTGCCTTTATTCTATAAACATTTCTATTATGATTGTGCTGGTATTAGGAAATTCTTTATATTTATTATATTGCTTTAGGCCTGATACTCTCTCATATAACACACACACACACACACACACACACACACACACACACAGAGAAATATTTTATTACTTTGCCTGAACTGTGCTTAGTTATAAACTCACACCAAAATCAGAAGCCTTCGCATTAACCTCTGTGAATTGCCCCAAAGTTCATATATATCTACTGGATATATTTGGGGTTACTGCAATTCACAAATATACTTAGCAAGAGAACAAGAGTAACTTGGCCAGTTGGCTGAATTCTGCCTATCTAACCAATGAAAAAACTGAGATTCCTAACACAAGAGAAAGGAGAAGATATTTGCACATATTTTAGAAATCTGTTTTCTTTAACTATCACTATATTGCATTGCTGTACAGCAGTGTTTTTCAAACCAGGCAACTTTAAGATGTGTGGACTTCAACTTCCAGAATGCCTTAGCCAGCATGCTGTACACTGATCCTATAAACCAGTGTTGTCCAAACTTGGCCACTTTAAGACGAGTGGACTTCAACTCCCAGAATCCCCCAGCCAGCATGGCTGGCTGGGGAATT